TTTCAGACTATAAAAATGAAACAAAAAATTTAGAGACGAAATTTGGTGACTGGAATTTGAATGAATAGAAGTAAGTTTTCTTCTTTTTATTACTTTTGACGTTTAAGGTATTTATCAATTTCAGCTTTGCATTTTCTTTAAACAGCCTGACATTGTCAGAATTGTTAGCAAAAATAAAATTGAGGTACCACGTTGGAAAAATCTTTAAAAAGTAGTTTCGTCATTGAAAAGTGTGAAATTATATTTTGATAATTTTCACTGTGAAATTATCAAATATAATTTTCACGGATAAATCTGTAATCCACTGAAAAGCATAAAATAAATAGAAAATAATATGAATGTGCTTTTCTGCAAAGTTGTATTCTCACGAGACTGTATGACACATGGAAATAGAACTGTATGCATTGAACGGGCAAGAGTGGTACAATCCATAATACTAGCATATTCATGTAGTTTTCCTTGTAAAATAAACCTTCAATAGAATGCGTAACAAATTTTAAAAAAATACATGATATACTAGGCTAAAATTATGTTAACATTTTTGCGAGATACGCATTTAATTATGTTAGTCTCGTTAATTTATAAAATAACAGCAATGACGTCGATGTTGATACATGTTTGACAGATCCGTCTGAAATTAAGTCAAGAAACAACGAGTGTCATTGTTCACCTTCCACTCTTAAATAATCACATTTGTAAATATTTCTTGAGAACATTTAAGATTTCATTTGTTATAGTATGTGTTTAAAATATTTTCAGGAAACAACAATCTTGAAGATTTCTCAACAGACTATCGATGAATATACGATATTCTGCTTTTATGAAATAATATCATAGTAATAAAAGCGTAGTCAAAAAGCTTCCCGTCGGAGCAATAAAATAGCCGCTGTTCAAACCTTTGACAGTATATTCAATTTATTTTTTTTAAAGAAAATTCGGTGTATTCAACAAGCTTTGAATGCCAGAATGAAGTAAAGGGTACTAGGCGTCTAATAATTTAATATTCGCTTTCGGCTTTGTTCTGCTCAATCTAGGTTTCATAGAAAGGAAAGTATAGAAAGTTTTGATCCAACAAGTCGTCTGGTAAAATTTATCAGTTGCCAAAGTCATTGCCATTATTTTGCTTTTTATCAATAAAACAAAAGCAAAACTCATTTTATTCATAATTAAAAGTGCCTTTTTCATTTTTTTTCTTTGCTTTGTTTTGTAGTGTTACATCAATATATTGTATAATTATGAAGATTGTTACCATTGTCCTTTAAAAGCTTTTTGTGATTTAATTTATTTGATATCCTGTAAAAATACCATTTAATTTACTTTTGGAAATTGCCGTTGTGTTAGGGTCACAAGATTCTGCCTTATTTGGAACCGACCTTTGCGTATAGCATCATAGTCTCATTCCTATGCTTAATTCTCTAAAAGGCGGTGATTATTGTCATGGACGATAGATTTCTTTGTCCACTTCAGTCAATAACAAGCTTAGTAAAGCCAAGCCTACAATATTGATATTTACCACATGAGGCTTTCTTTAAGATTTCAAATTATTCCTTCCATAACGATGTAAGTCATTTCACGGACAAAACCTGATACTACGTATTTAAACACTTAAGTTTTAAAACTTGATCATTTAATCCATCGTATGTATGTCGTAAACGTTTTAACCGCTTAAATCTTTCTTTCTTTATATCTTAATTAAAAAAAACAATGTCACAAATAACTGTGTCAATAATTATCAGTATGTAAATGGATAATAAAATAGTAAACGTCATAATTAAATGATAATGACACTTTTCAATATTCTGAACACGAACATCCACGAAAAGATAAATGCACAAGCAATTGCTCGCAATGATGAAAGAGTATTAACTATTAAAAAAGATATCATAAGAATGACTAAAGCGTTCATAAAGTAAACTACATAAAACAATTGTGTAGATTAACAAAGATAACCGTTTATTTCATTGTATTTGCTTGATTATGAATGTGATGATAATGATAATGTAAGATTTCTGCTGCTTAAGAATTTTATAAGATTAATTTATCTGACCCATATTCTCTGTATTTTTATTTTCAGTATGTTAAAATAGATATTATCTTTGACATCATTATGACTGACTCAAGAAGTAACACTGTCATTTCGAATGTCATTCATAACGCAATGACGTAATCGAGTCTGACAAAATTGCTTGGTATGTTCAAAAGAGCTACTTATGCTGTCGAACAATGTGGTGGCTTGTAATCATTTATGTCACTGATTTGATTATCGGTTATAAAGATCTGTCTGCAGCATTCAAATATTTTGGTGAATTATATTTAGAAAACTTATGAAATTCCGTATTAAATTCTGATCATCATCAAAATAAACTACATTCTAAAACTTTTATATTGTCTTTTTAAATGTCCCATTACCAAGATGGAATAGAAGGAAAAAGTGAGTATCGTCGATCATGTCATTTGTTGTGTTATTATCAATCGATAAACATTACTTAATAATGAACTGTTTATGTTTTAAATGCCAAGAAATGTTATGAACTGAACAAAATACTAAATAAAGAATTTTTAAAAAGGAGAATGTTGATTTCTGTTACGTATGATAAATGCAAAACACCTTTTATTCAACGATTAGCTTTGTTGCAAGGGGACTCATTTTAAAGAAAGCGTTTATTCTAAGGGAATGATATCCTTGGCTGTATATCTTTTCTGCAGTTTTTTTTGCTTAAATTCTGTTCTTTATAATACATTTAAATGTAGCAAAAGTACATACAGCATTTCATGACAAAATGTGTTGTTCAACACCATTTGTTTTCGTAATATAAAATATCAAATAATTGCAGTTCTAAATAAAATAAATGGATTAAACATAACATTCTTTAATAAAATAATTATAAAAAAACAATAACATTCCTAAATAAATTAAATAGACAATATACCCGAATATCATTTACGAGATGAATGAATTGTGAATTTATTGTTTTAGTTGTGTTTTTTCAACACCAGTCATTGGTATGAAAACTTCATTTCTTTATAGCCAACTTGATTAATTTAAGTTAAACAAAATGAATCAAATACTCCGATTGGTTAAACTGCTTGCAAAATTATCTATTCAAAGATTCAACTGATTCAGTCATTTTCCGTTCTGTCTTGAATGTCCTTTTTGTGCTACCGATGTATACTCCAAACAGGATTTCTTATTTGCATCATTATATCTTTTAGAAATAGGTTTAAACGAACTGTGAATATCACAGATAAGAAAGAGTGTCCTCCAAGTAAATTTATTTTTATTGCCAATTGTCCATTATTATTTCCACGAGATTTCTACCAGTGAGAAAGACCAATGTCTTGACACAATATGCTTTTTTACGAAGATATGTTTTTGCTTATAGATTTGCATGTCAATGTATATTAAACACAATCAACACAATCTTTAAAGTTACTTTACTTTTAAAGAAATTATTAGCAATATTTATCAATAAGTGATATAAAATAGTTATATTCAATTTTAAATATGAGTGTTGTAGTTGATAACCATTGACATCAAGCTTACATTGAGAGTATTCCCGTCAAAAAGGCAGCAAACAAATACATCATAATTATATATTTAAGAAAATAAACTGAAAAAATATTTCTTTAGTTTCGTTTATTTATTATTTAAGCACAAACATGACATTATCTTTAATTATCTTTAAATTGAGCAGATAAATCTTTTTAAAAGTATTTAAGTTATTAAATTGCTTTTGCCAAATGTATGCTATAATGTGTTATCATTATAAAATTTTATTTAAAAATGCATGTTAGATTTTGGAATATTTAAAACGTTTGCACGACGTATTTTTATATTTTGAATATCTTGACATAATTATTCAGGGTTGTATTGTTTGTAAAACATTTTCAGTAAATGCTTTACAAAACATTTGACAAAAACTATTTTTAATTGGTATTAATATTAAAGGGAGACACAGGCAAAATTTTCATTTCTTCGTTTAGATATATAATTTCATTCATTATTCTGTTAATGTCCACAAAATGAATACAGTAGGCAGTCACAGGGACAAACTTTTGTCCTTAAAATTAAGATAAAAATTTGGGTTTCCTAACTTGACCCGCTTGGGTCAGGTTAGAGCGTAAAGATTTCACAATAGTAGTCACAGTGAACTCTGGAAATGATAATGAATATGTCAAATGAATTACTTAGACTTGTTTTAATCATACAATATCCACAATATCTGTTATTGTAACTTCCAGGGCCTGTTTAAGTCACATGACTTTTTTTAAAACTGCTCGGTGATTCTGCCAGCGTCTAAATATCTTTGAGCATGTATAGATATATTAATACTTCAACCCCAAAATATATAGAATTTATACAGACATTTATGCTGGGACTTGAGAAAATGTCATTTTAGTGTGACGTGAGTACATAAGATCGTTTAATATTTCTGTCATTTATTTGCCTGAGTATCCCTTTAAGACTTCTGTTTTTGAACTTAAATCAATATTTTATTGATGCAGCTTTTTGTAGTTTTTTTATATAGAACACAATCGTCTGAGGATGGGAGTATTTTGCTGATTACACTTAAATTTGGTATTGAACAAAAATTTGAAAATAAATTTAGATATAGCACACAAACATATGTTAGTAGTGAGGCACAATATAATAGTTACAATATTTCATATTGATGTTACACGAGAACATTATCTTCCCGTGAGTAAAATGTTTTTACAATACAGAGCGATTTGTTTTCTATGCGTACTTAACGTACTTAGATTACAGATGCCATCGATTTGAAATACTTTAGATCATAATTCGAACATCTTTGTTTACAGGGCACAAGAATAAGTCTCTGTTCACAACAGGGCACTGCACTGATTACACTTCCTATTTTACACGCTCAAATTCATATAGTCACGGCGGGTATCATTCGTTTTGATGTCTTGCATTTCCATGTACGCATGACCGTCTCTTCCTTTATCACTAAGTTGTTCGTATACAGTTTTAGGGCCAGAGTCGTTATATGTAGATGTTGTCTGATTTTCAGAAACAGTTCTACTTCCTGAAACATTTAAGTAAGTTACATGTAACTGCATGGACTGCGAGGTAACTTTTCATATGTTGCGTCTAAAAATATGTTGCGTCTAAAATATTTTAATTGAAAACGAAATCACAAAACTTTATTAACAATTGTCAAAGTATGGACAATGTCAAACTTGGACAAAATAACTTTATGTGTGTGTAACTATTTATGTTACATCTAAAAAAGTTAAAATTTATTTCTTTACTTGTTTAAAATTCATGAATAAAAAAAAGAAATTTGATTTGAGTATGCTTACCAGTTGCTTGTCTTTTTCCAAGACTTTGGTAACGTCTGAAATGAATTTATATATGAAGAAATTATTTAATTATATGATAATGTTGATTTAATAATATAGGCAACAGTTAGTATGAAGTGCGGTATATCAAATAGTAAGACGCTTTGAAATGATTATGTTAGAATATGAAAAAGCACTAACAAAGAATAATGAAATTAGTAGACAGTAGACTATTTTGTCAAAATAGTTGTGACAAAATTTTTGAAAAGCAAAAAAATATTCAAATTAAACAACAACAGTAACTGTTCTTTGTTTGGTTGCTTAAAACTATATCACTACATATATGGGATGTACATCACCTGATATATTTGTAACCGAGTAATGCCATAACAACAACTAAAATTGTGAAAGCAAATGTACCAACAGCGACACCAGTTATTATCCCAATGATTGCAGACTCCACTGGTTCTTGCTGTTTTTCAATGTCTGCAAAGAGAAGCAACAGCATTGCTCATATTTAAAAAAAAAATAATAATAATTTTACACATGATATGATTTATGTGCACGGTGACATGTAAGGTCTATCTTTCAGTAAATAATCAGAATATAATTGTGTATTTGAGGCTTTCCTGTTTATGATATACATCAAGAAGAAAATTTTTGTTGAACGTTACAATTTGAATTATCAGATTTTGAAAAGTTGTCTAACTTTCATATTTTTCATTCATATTTGCAGGAATTAATTATTATCTTTAATCATTTTAACACGTCACGAAGAAAATCATCAACAAACATTTAAGATACGTTCTTATAGTGTTTATTTATATTTAGCTATTTACCTTTTTCGTTCAATTCGTAATAATGAATGTATTGTCCAACTGAATTCCTGACAATAACTCGGTATTGCCCATAATCTGTTTGAGTTATATTTCTGATGACCAAGACAGATTGTAATCCGTAGGATGAAATTATATGTTTACTAGCGTCATTTGCAATGATGTGTTCTGTTTGTACCATGTAAAAGCAGTTTTGTTTTGCCCATCAAAAAGGTCATGTGCTGTAAATGGCAGTGTGACGTCAGACCCCAAAAGGGCTGTTACATTGTCGTCTTTTACAGTTTTCGGACGTGGCGGACCTGATGATAAATCAAATGTATTACATAATAACAGAGTTTTACTTTTACCCGTAGCTTTGTTCCGTACTGTTTTCATTAATCATTGAATGTCCGCATTAATGGCTACTTATAGCTTCTCCAAAACACCTAAAATAACTGTTGATTCAAAAAAGTAAACACTGTTTTTTTTCTTTGTTATTATGACTTTGAGATGTAACAATTACTGAGAAAGAAAACTTAATATGTTGTTTAATAACATAAATGTTATATTTACATCTGACGATGAGAATATGATTAGATGTTGCTTCTTCTCCAACAGTTAACATATTTCTTGCATAACATGTATAATGTCCAGCATCGGCACAGGACACATTCAATTTTGTATGATCGACAAATTTGGTATCTTTCAAAGTTGTTAACTGTTTATCTCTTTGATCTCTGATAATGATTTCCGACTTAGGATTTGAAACAGCCATGCAAAAGAAAGACACGTTTTGGCCATTGTTAGCAATAAAAGCGCCTGCTTCTGATAGTTTACTTGATATAAGGAAAACAACTCTACTCGGAGGAACTGAAAGTATATCAAAATAAATTCCAGGTAATGAATTAAGGGTTGAAAAAATTCCTTTGTTGCAAAACAAGGTTTATCATTTCGCTATTGTCATGTTTAAGCTAGTGACAAGAGAGTAAATGACAGGGAACTTTGTGGTTATAGGCGCTGTCTGAAAATAACTCTTTTTTAAAGTCAAACTAGTTTTGTAACGCATTTACGGTTACCGTATCAAAACATCTTACAAAATTCCCTGTGATTTTCAATTTAACTCTTTTTGCTCAAAAACTGTCGTGTGATAAATTGCGTAAAGAGGCAACTCATGTGATGTTTGAGATGTTCATGATTAAAGATTTTAAAATATATAAACTTACATGACACATTTACTACAATGAATTGGCTTGAAATGTCAGCATTATCCACTTGTGTCCAAACCTCACAAAATAAATGCCAGTTGTTAAATGTCCTATTTGGAATGAATTCAAGTATACTTTCTGCAGCCATCAATTCATATTCTTCTAAACTGTATGATTGTGTCGAATTTTCCGTTATATCGTATGTTATTTTGCTATAATAATGTCGGAGATACCATTTTACTGTAGGGTTTGGTCGGCACGGTGAGGTTTGACAACGTACAGTTTGTGTTTGATTTTCTCTCATGTAAAGCTTTTCATCGAGTAAACGAATATCAACGTTTTTGGCAGGAACTAAAAAAATCATAGGTAGGTCATTTTATAAACAGTCATGTGTAGCCGATATCATATTAATCAAATTGTAATTTACTCGATAATAAATCATTTGGCTTAAAATGTTTTCTTCTATAAGTCTAGTAAAAAAACTTTACCTACCTATACTTCTTTTCTAGGCCAAGTGTCAAGAAACACCTATTACTTTGTTTTAAAAATCATTTTACAAACGAATACAAATACATCTTAGCAACACATAATGGTTTTCAGATTAAGTATTAAATTGCATTGGCCTTTTGTGCCATTCAGTAATGTATTGTCAAACTTTATCTGAAAACATGAAGGTTTTGACAATGATACATTGTGCTAAATAAGGATTTTCAGACATATACATGTTCTACGAAACTATATAATTATGTAAAAATGTACTGTATGGACGATCCAGAATTATACGGAATTTGTGTATAATTCTGACATCTTACAGGTTGTCTTCATGAAAAATATATCTGCGTAATGTTTAATGTTTTATCTATTTTATTGCGAAATATTAATGATTTAATACCACCCATGGCCAGTTAGTGACAACATTAGAAACTCCATAGAGGCACAGCTCATAGAACGCGTACGTTAGAATTTTTTTACAAAACCAGAGCACACATACAAACATTTATGTTGTCCAAATTTTGCCGGAACGTGTAGAAAACCCCCATACCATCATGATTTCAAGTCATTTGAATATTTGAGTATTTGTTATTACGTTGTAAAGGTTAGTAGTTGCAGCATGTATTTATTCGGAAGTCAAGTTTGAGTTGTTACTACATGTACGGTGACAACGTCCTGCCGCACTATATGTTATACTATTCGTCCAGTAATAATTGTACAGTTACTGTAATTTAACACTATGCTACGTGTATAATAAATGATCGTTAAAGCCATTTGTAATGAAAAATAATGAAATGAAATTTCAAGTAAACAGTACAATCTGATCTAGTTTGGTTTAATGTGTTAGTCTTATTTCGATCTCTTTCAGCTATATAATGTTTTGCAGAGGTATTTTGAAATATAAGAAAGACGGTTTATCTTCAGGAGGCCTGCTGCTTTTAATGGTTCTGTGAGTTAATGTCTTTTTCTGTGAAACATATTTTAACTGTATTTAATACAATTTAACTATTGTTTTGAAGAGGTTTGATTTAAAGAGAAAACTTACCGGTTACATAGAAAGAAACGATGTTACTTTTCATTGTGACAGTCTCTGAACATGTCCATTCAGTTCCATGTTGCGTCCGATTGATCTTTTTTAGCATCACGGAGTACGTTCCATTACCGTAACATTTACCATCAAATAGGTCACTGTTTAGCAAAAACCCAGTGACTATGCATTTCCCGTTATTGAATGTGAGATTAGCGTCTTCGGCTATTTGTGAATTTGTCCATATTGTTTCGTTGATTGATCCATTTTCCTTCGAGCAAGTTAATGTTGCACTTGAATTCTCAACAGCTTTTACAAGTCTTGGTAATAGCAGGATGGAATTTGGCTTTACAACTAAATTTAACAGATGTAAGAAGATTAACATACTTTCAATACCTTAATTATATGTGATGCTGATTATTAAAAGATATTATTGACGATAATTCAGTTAAAATAAATCAAATTCTGTTAAAATAATTTAAATAGGCTTTGCATTTAATGAAACAGATCTAAAGCATACAACAGCAACAATGACTTACCTGATACTAAGGTAGAGTTTATGATATACGCCAAAGCGAATCGATTCATTGTAAGTCATGTACTGATTAAGACACTTGACTTGTTTCTATTCATGTACTGATTAAGACACGTTAATTGATCTCTGAAATGAAAAAGAACCACAAGTACATTTATAATGATTTGTATTTACTTTTAACATTTTAAAGCTATGTAATAAACTCCAACACTGCATGGTATAGTATTCGTCAAGTAATTTAGCACTTTGTTTATTTTATGTTTTAATGATCGTTAACTTTTATTGCACATTTATGCCATTGTTTGTGAAACATATTTTAACTTTATTTAAAATCAACTTAACATTTATTTCCCATTTAAAAGAATGTTTGTTTTACACATTTTATACGTGAAGTGACACAAGCTTTTTACACAGAACTAGCTTCCTGATTGTTATTTGCTTTATCAAAAGTACATTATATAAATAACACATGGGTTTGTGGGTAACAGTAAAAATATCATCCCGAGGAAAATACTGTTACCCGAGGCGTAGCCGAGGGTAACAGTATTTTTACGAGGGATGATATTTTTACTGTTACTCACAAACCCATGTGTTATTTATTTTATTACCCCGAACAAAAATACTGAGATGATCTGAAATTGTCAACTAAATCTAACTGTAATAAAAATAAACCAAGAGTAACAATAACAAAACTGTCCTTACCTTTTAAGTTTTAAGTGTACTTTACTGTAGGCCTACTTGAGAAGTTTTCTTTTTCTTTTATTTTTTAAGCAAGTGATGATATCTACAAATCATAAACATACAATAAGCTAGGTTTTATTTAGGAAACAAAACACTAACCCATTTACACGGTTATGATCTGTGAAATCTGATCCTTCTGTTTCCAGAATATTCTTAGCATGGTTTTTGACAAAATAACGATGATATCCTATGTCCACCATATCTGTAACGTTTCACTGATTAAATTTGTTAAATAATCCTTTGTTGCATGCTTAAATCTTCTGCATGTTTCAGTTTGACACATAATTATTTACATTGCAATCACTTCCGTTGAAAACGGATGTTCACTTTTTGACTATTGAGCAAAAAGATATTTTATACGCGAAAAGCACACCAGGGTACAAACAACTAAATTTTACGAGTGTCACAGGGACTCCAGAGGAGAAATTGATGTCCTATCGGGGTTTAACGTCGAAAATAAGAATGAATCGAGAAAAAATGGCGGCCATTTTATTTCATTTTATTTAGGAAATAGACCACGTGACCGCTTAAAAAATACTGTTACCTATGTAACAGTACAAAATTTTTAGTCACGTGGTACACTTGCATTAACAGTAAAAATAAATCCCAGAGGCCTATGGGAAATTAGCATTACGAAAAAAGTGAGGGGTAATAATATAACATAATAGAAATATGAACAGCATTAAACTTAAATGGTTTAGACTAAAGATCATTGCTCACATACAATGACTCTTTATGTATTACTTTCTCATAGTTTAATCAATATAATTATTTTAATGGCTTAAACTCTTGAAGACAAAAAACATTTAAAAGAACATAAACACCGGTCGGAAAAATATGCAAATATCAATTAAAGTATAAATACAAAGCTAGACGTTTAACTTCTTACCTTTTACTTAATAATAAATTAAAGGAAATTTGCAATATCACGTGTTATTTATTTCCTTTATCTATGTTTATTGCGTTACAACGTTAATATACAATTTGTTAATGTCATCGTGCATTTCATCAAAATAAAACACATATTGGTAGACAAAGAATATATGCATCCGTTTTGCATAATCACAATTTTACCTTTATCTTCCTAGTTTCAAACCGGTTAAGAACAGGTTTGATGCAAACAAATTGTTTACAAATGAAAAGGGAAGTTTTAAACGTGGATAAAACTGACAAAAAAGCAATAGTGTTTACGTGTGTTTTTAATACATTTTTAAAAGAATGCGTACACAAAATACTATAAATTTGTAGAAACAATCTCACGATAAGAGCTTATGGTATTACAAACCTATGATTTTGGCATTAAATAATATTGTATAATTATTATATCAAATGGAGGTCTATATTGTACTTTCAAATGACAAATACCTTATATGTAATAAAAGTCTTACATAAGATAACATGTAAAGCATATAATTTATGTAACGGCTTCGAAAATGTTTAAAGACTGGGAACAATATTGTGCAAATTTAATATGACGTAAATGATGTTAAGGAAACTCTAATAAAAAAAACATTAAATTATTGTTAATCTAACTTTGATCGGAACCAAATTAATTAAATCACATTAGATGGTTACGATTTTGTTTTCTCATTTCCATTTTTAAATACCCACATTAAAATATGTTTCTTTTCTTTCATTTAAGTAACAGACGATGACCCAAATTTTGTAATACATAATCAGAAACATATTCCAGTTGGTGAATGAACATTTGTAAAAATATCATTTACAATATTTTTACAATTTATTAAGGTGGTTAGGACATTTAGTTTATCGTCAAGGCATCCAAATTAATCCGCAAAACTAATGGATGTGCATTTGATTAGGTTGAAGAAAGAATCAGACAATTTTACAATATAATCAAAATAAATATAACTTGCCGAACAAATTGACGTAAAATTGACTGACAAAAATAATTCAAACATAACTTTAATCTTTCACAGCTGTTTATTTGATCTTGTTTTCTACACGTAACAGCATTATATAGCTTTTATTATATAAAGCAAAAGAGAAAGACATATAAGACATTGTCTGAGTGTAGTAAACGTAAGACAAATGATACTTATAACAAATGTTATACCGTCATCTTAATAGTTAATGGTGTCCCTGTATAAAGTACTCAATTTAAATCATTACTAAAATGGTGTGGATTTTGCAAATATTTTTGTCATATACCCGCTGAAGAGGAATTTTGAACAAATGTCTCAGAACAGTCCTGAATAAGGTCATTAGGGGATATTTCTTGACATTCCGATTACCACATTCTCAGGAAAAAGTTTATATTACTTGGTACCATATAAAATTTCATAGAATATTTTATCCATGTTTGTGTAACCGTGGCATAAACTACAAAAAGTATACAAAAAATAACACATTTGCTAATTATTGAAAATGTTCCTGTTGATAACCACAAAAAGGTGTATGTACTGATGAAAAAGAAATAATTACATTCTCTTTATTAATTTTTGTTTGTTACATTTTCCAAAGATTTTTTTTAATGACTTACAATCATTAAGAAATAATCTTGTAATTGATATCTGTTTCGGTCAAAACTTCGGTAAGGCTGAAACAATTGAAATACAGCGCCTGAGCATGCATATGTAGGTCTGTTAGTTAATTGTAATAACCCATGTTAGAGCATGTTTGTGACAAATCATTATCTCAAAGTTACCATTTACTAAAAGTAAATAAATAGTTCCTAAATATTTGCAAATAAAAATCTATAAAACATTGCAGGAGATTGCGAAATAAAGAAAATGTAAATAATTTACGTGATAACTTTATCATTCAAGGTGGACAATAATTTTAAGTTTATTTCTGGAAGTATACCGGTATGAGGTAGATAAGTGAAAAACAAATTGTCACGGAATGTTTCGTTTGGCGTCTATGACTCGTCATGAAACATATACGAGTAGAAGACGAAACGCTTCATATTAAGATTATGAACTCATTAATAATTGTTAACAAAGCAGTAACTGTTGATTACTTTTTAGAAATTTTTCAAATCTAATTTGTACTGCAGTGCACTAAAAACTATTTTTTAATGTATACAACAAGCGAATTTTCAGTAGATATATGTAAAATGACACCTGAGTGATGCACACAGTCTGGACATTTATAAAACTCCTACATTAAAAAGCAAGTAAATATATCTCAATTAATCACCTTATGATATATATTATGATATTTAGGGTTCCTTATTTTCATCTTCCAACTGGTGAATTTTTAAGATATATCTTTGGTATTTAAAAATGTATAATTGATGCAATATTAAAATAATTTGAAAAGAATAAGAAACAGAACAGGTCAGCCAGACATGACATTAATTTATTGTGATCCCTGAAATGCGCAGTTTAATACTGAATGACAGCAAATTGTTTTGTATTTTAATTTAGAGAATATATTTAACTATGGTCTTTTTTAAACGTTTTAAAAGGCTGTCTTAAATATATTTAAAATAATGACCACAACTAAATGTACTGTACTTGCTTATTCTACTGTATACTTATAAGGCGACACGATCTAAAAACTCTTGACATTTCTGATTGAATCAAATCCAGTATTATTAATGTCTTGACAAAATAGCAATATTCAGCAGTTAAGGTATCTAGGGTAATAGTATGTCTGGGATTGTCTAAATTAAGAGATTATATTATAGTATGCCAATGTCGTTAGAGCCATTAATGCCCTGACAATAGTTTATCATGTGGTCAAAAACGTGGTTGTCGGATCATTTGCAAATAACAATTTATAAATAACAACTCAACGGTCTTTATTAAGAGTTTTGAAATATTTACTGACATTGGTACATATGGCACATAACTTTTAAATTATAGTTATTATGAGTTTTCTCTTGAAAATATAATTTATTAGGTAATTGCGGCTAATGAAATACAAACAATCCGTATCCTTACTCGATAATATTTAATGACTAATCTGTGTTATATATAAATTGACGTGTGACTTGTGTGTTTTGCATTTCAAATTTCTATACGCCACTTCTATGGTGGCAATTGTTCATATCAATGTTGCTCTCTTATACAGTATGCTAAACTATTATAGAAAATAAATTCGTCATTGTCTTTTTAAATTCTCGATTGCAAATAAATTCTTTATATCATAATCAAAACAAAATAACTATCCAGCTGTGTACAATTTATATAACAATTTTGCGACATATGTTCTTCAGTTTAATAAAGATTATATTTTCTGTACAAACATATTTTTTCAAATACCAAATAGATTAATAACTACATATCAGTTTAAGTTTTTCTCCTTCACCATCGTATATACACAATAACATAAATAAAGATTTACTTGAAGTGTGACACAAAACATTGCGTGTTACAGCTTACCATAATTATAAATAACGACTTTGATGTTGTTTCCATCAAGCCGTGACTTTATCTAAGAGTCTTATTTAAATTCTGATTTAAATTCAATAAAAAACAAGGTCATTGCCTTAGAAGTGAGACAATCTGTAAAAGCCGAGATAAAATTAAAAGAAATGTTCCTGCTTGCTCTACGGATGAGAAGACGGGAAATGTAAACATACGTTCCTCCTTTTAAGCCGGGAAGTGCCGATATGGTTTTGTTAATGCAATTATTAAAGGACCTATGTATAATAGAACTGTGCTCATCTTCTTTCACGGTACTTTGAAAACAATAAACTTACGATAGAAGAAATGATATAAGCTGTCCGTAAACAGATTTTGCAAACCATTTCACAATGAAACATATGCAATTATAGCGCAGGAAAAGTTGTTATTCAATCGAATTAAACAATTAAAAGATAAACGAAAAGTGGATCATTATTTCTTTTGGGGTTTACATTCAAATATCGTAATCACATTGCCGACAATGTTCATAACAATAATTTAAGACATATAAAAACCTTTTTTTCAGAAAGGAAATAGGTTATATAATCAAATAATTGTTGCTGAAAAACATCACATTCTGACGTGCTAAATCATTTTTTAAATTAAGTTTGTTGCTTAGAAATTGGCTTATCAAAGATTTAAGTGGTTTCGTAATTTCTTGTACCGATGTTTGCCTCAAGCATATATTTTATTTGCATCTAAATATCCCCTGGAAAGGTTAAAATGAGCTGTGGATGTCTAAATTAAAGCAAGAGAAACGTCTTCATTGACATTTTGTGATCAACCTGGAGCGTCGTTTTAGTGATGATTTGCGGCTTTTAGCTTGCAGCTTATAATTTATGATTTATGACTGATGCTTCTGACTCATGACTTGTGAGATATGTATGTTGACTTGTGGCGAAATTGTCCCGCGTTTTTTGTGTTTTTTTTATGATATGGGTAATGGCGAAGATCTAGGAACAGTGAAAATGGATGATGACGTGAGGTTAGAAATTAGTAATCGTTGTTGATTGTTAGTACAATGGCTAATCAATGAGATAATAAGATAATGCATGGTTAAATGCATTTATAACGTACTTAGTTATTCTAAATAATAATAACCATTTAATCATTTGTAGTATCATGTTACATGGATTGTTAGTTCTTACTACACGGGACATAGCAGGTCGATCGCAACTTCAAACACCCATTGACATATATAATTAAGCATTCCATAACACGTAGTCCGCGTCAATAATTAGCAATATGAACCTACACAAATTACCCTAAATAGATACCTAGTCCCTTCGTTGGTATACATTATTTCACCCACAGCGCAGGTGTGTACAAGTTATCGGTTTGAAACCCGATCTGTTTTACATTGCTCAGTTATTTTAATTTTACTTTTTCTGATTTATAATAAATATGTATTACCGACCGCTACGAACACTGTCCCTTGGTCAATCCGTATCTTTTTATCTAAGAGTATCCAATACTTAGTGTCCTTCTATAATTTGTATACCTCAATTGTGAATAGTTATAATGTCTTCATGAGTGAGAATATAATAATATAGTTGGGCCCGACCTCAAACCCGATCAACCCTACCCCAATAGTAATCAGAAAAAAAACTACATAAGAGACATGTATTTTTCCTTTTAGCTGTAAGGCATGTTAAATGTAATGTTTCTTTTTTCCATAAAGTTATACAAGTTTTACTATATTAGAAGGATAAGT